TATAGTTTCATCTTGTTTTGTTTTTTGTTGTTTTTTTTTTCTATTTCCCATTTTTTATATTTTGTATATCTGTCTGTTTGGATATATTGATTCCATTTCAGAAAATGTGTACTGTCTGATAAAATGAATATACTTATATTCATTGAAATAAATTTCTTACCGAATATGGATTTTGAGGGGTTTTTTTTCTAATTATTATTATAATTTGCTTTGTATCATACATTGAGCTCTCATATGAACTAAAAATTGTCTTTGGAATAATCCTTACCAGTTACACTTTTGTATTATATATATTTTTTATATATATATATATATATATATATATATATATTCATTCTACACAATTTATTTAAAAAATATTATCGATAGAAACATTGCCTACATACGCTAGTTTAAAAAAATTCAATTAAAAATAAATAACACAGATGAGACATTTATTACTGTTATGAAAATTAGATATTTTAAAAATGAAAAATATTCTTAAATCTTTCTTTTTAGCTTCAATTGAATGCTAAATGATTAGATTTACTATTTCCAGTAAGCAAAATACTATGTGTATTTCAAAATATTGATTGGAATCTGAACATTTGTGTCGCTTTCAGAAAATCAATAAAATCGATGAATATCGGCCATTTTGATACATTTGTAAACAAAAATTAATTCCTGATTTAAAAATCTTCCAAAAATAAAATATAAATTTGGGACACGTTATTTGAGGAAAATTAGCAAATTTAAAGTTAAATTAATTTATTTGAAACAAATATTACTTATAGCATAAAATATAGTATACAAGCATTTCTTAACCACGGAGTTTTTTTTCTGACGTGTTTATTGATTTATTGGTAGCTTACAATGTTGACAGCTAAGTATGGTTTACCAGAAATTGACAAAAAAAACGTTTTGTTTTTGGTTTTAAAAAACTTTCAAAAATTAACATAATATTTTCATTAATTATCTACCATTTTATTGAATTTTAGTTACATTAGATTTATAGCCTTGCGTTTTTTACCAAAATAACTCTCACAAATAAAGATAAACTTAAAAAAGTAAAATCATACCTACATTAAGCTCTCATATGGACTAAAAGACCTCTTTGGAATAATCCCTAACAATTCCGACTTGGTATTATTTACACACACACACATACACACACTTATATATATATATATATATATATATATATATATATATAAATCCACATTACAACCAAAAACGTTTTGGCACCCCTCTTCTTTTTTTATATATATATATATATATATATATATATATATATATATATGTATTAGGAGCTTGAATAAGTTCTCGCTGTTTTCCAACAGATGGCGTTTCCAGAACTGCGTGCGTGTAGTTTCAGATGGTAATGCATCTGTAAGGAAGTATTATATGTAAGCTTTAAATTCAGTGTATGTCATTTCGCCGAAGTGTAAATAATTTTGTTTTTCATAGCTTTAAACATGTCGGATTTCGTGCCAAAGAAAGTGTATTTGCGGGGAATTTTACTACACTACTTTATTCAAAAGAAATCTGTAGCTGAAGCGCACATAATTCTTGTTGAGACTTACGTTGACCATGCTCTGTCGGAAACAAAACGCAGACATTGGTTTAGATACTTTAAAAGTGATGATTTTGATGTTGAAGATAAAGAACGCTCTGGTGCACCGAAAAAGTTTGAAGACGAAGAATTGGAGGCATTATTTCACGAAAACTCATGTCAAGCGAAAGCTGAACTTGCAGAATCATTAGGAGTTGACCACACAACAGTTTCGAAATATTTGAAAGCATTAGGAATGATTCAAAAGCAAGGACATTGGGTGCCATACTTGTTGAATCCGTGAAACATCGAACGGTGTATTATTACGTGCTAAAAGCTGCTTCAACGGAAGAAAAGTAAAGTTTTTTGCATCATATTGTGACCGGCGATGAAAAGTGGATACACTATGATACCCTAAGCGTAGAAGATCGTTGGGTAAGTCCGCCCATGCATCAACATCGGCTGCAAAGCCGAATATCCAAGGTTCTGCTCTGCATTTGGGGGAATCAGCTGGAGATTGCTATCGACTACAATTGATGCGCTTGAGCCGAACATTAAAGAAAAAACGGCCGCTATATAAGCAGAGACAATACAAAGTGATTTTGCAGTATGACAACGCAAGGCGACATGGTTCAAAACGGGTGAAAACCTACTTGGAAATGCTTAAATGGGACGTACTACCCCTCCCACCGTGTTCACCAGACATTGCTCCGTGCGATTAGCGATTATCGATGGCACATGGCCTGACTGAGCAGCCCTTGCATTCTTATGAAGATGCCAGAAAATGAATCGACTCGTGGTTAGCCTCGGCACATATATATATATATATATATATATATATATATATATATATATATCCGAAAATTATAACTTAAATATGTTATAAAATCACTACAAAAATAACCATTTTGTTTCGACACTTCTGGTGTCTTATCAAGTGATATTGTTGAAACGTTCAACACCATCAGTTAATAGACATAAGAAGTGTTGAAACAAAATGGCTATTTTGTAGTGATTTTATAGCATGTTTATGTCATAATTTTCAATATATTATATTTGCTCTACTCTGTATTGAGCTATCTTTTAAGAATAGTATTTTTTTGGTTAGCGGGAATTTATTCCGTATACACCAATCATATATTTTTGTGTGTGTGTTTCTCCTCTCTCTCTCTCTCTCTCTCTCTCTATATATATATATATATATATATATATATATATATATATATATATATATATATATATTGAAATTAGTATCAAATCACTCTGAGGGTTTTTAATATTATTAACGTTATCTTCCTCAGTCGATTTTTTTTTTTTTAAGTACAAATTAGTTTAATTCTACCCATCTATTTTTTATACGTTAAATGTATCTATGGATAGATATACTTTTTAGCTTTTTAATTTATATATATATATATATATATATATATATATATATATATATATATATATATATATATATATATATATATATATATATGTGTGTGCGTATATATATATATATATATATGTATGTGTCTATATGTTTTATATATATATATATATATATATATATATATATATATATATATATGTATGTATATATTTATGTGTATATGTATTGATAGATACGTTGTATATTTGTTTAGATGAGTGTTTGTATGTATATGTATGGATGTATATAAGGTTTTATATAGATATGTTTATGTGCACATATGTCTATGTCTATGTATGTATATGTGTATGTGTATATGTATGCATGAGCGTATGTGTATTGAGATATATTTATATATGTGCACACATACATGTATATATGTGAGAGTAGATATAGATATGTTGTTTTGTATGTTATTTTTGGCATATAAATAATAAGTCCTTACTAGATTCAATTTTAGTTCAATTTTATATGTTTATGTTCAATTTGTAACCTGTAGGTGATATTGCTTGGTTTGTCAAATTTTCCTGATTACACATCGGTTCTCTTATAAATGCCCTTCATTTTAGTTGCCCCCACACACACACACCATATTTTTTCTCCTCTCTCTCACATCTTCTGGATTTTAAGTTTAGATCATATCGTTTTTTATTGTGCGTAGTATCACCACAAATGTATACACACGTCTCCGATATCTGTTTTCTTCTCTTTTTTTTTTTTAATTTTAATCTAGGTCAGCGACTCGGTAGCGAATTATACATCGAAAAATAATTGATATTTATCACTCATTTAAAGCGTTACTTAACCCCTCTCTTTAAAACTTCACTCTGTTAAATTTTAATCCCCCACCTTCACCTTTAAGCCTTCCTGTTCTTCTTTCTTCTGTTAACACCTCTCTCTAGAGCTTTCAGACATTTCCTCTCAAACTTGTTTCCCACTCCCACACATACACTCTCACTAAAACTTAATTTTTATACCCGGAGTTATATTTTCCGATTTCTTTTTTGAATTTGTAGGTCTGATGAATTGATCATGATTACGATTCCAATGTAATAAATTATAACCATGGAATATTTGTCTTTGAGCCCTTTATATTATATTCTTACCCTGTCCTGTGTTCTACCTGGATTCTATCCTCCTTGGAAATTTATGTATATATATATATATATATATATATATATATATATATATATATATATTGATATTATATATATTATATATATATATATATATATATATATATATATATATGAAAAAAAATACAGAAAAACAAAAAAAAATCTTAATATGCAATTATGCTGTATTAATGTTAATATAAAGTCAACGTCGGACGTTTCGGTCTATTTAAGACAATCTTCATGGACATTTTCATTTAAACACAATTAACATTAGAACATAAAAATTTAACACAAAAGACGATGGACACAAGAGCACGTCTTTTGTGTTAAATTTTTATATGATTTTTGTTTGTTTTTTCTGTATTTTTCTTCATACTGTCGGATCTATATCCATATATTTTTATATATATATATATATATATATACATATATATATATATATATATATATATATATATATATATATATACGTAGTGATTGGCACAAGACCGTATGTATGGAGTACCTAGCGACGATTGAAGTCGCTAGTCAGTTGTAATTGGCAAGCTTGTTAGCCATTACACCACATTGGAGTTTATACATTATATAGATAGATAGATAGATAGATAGATAGATAGATAGATAGATAGATAAGTAGGTATATAGTAATTTCCGTTTTTTTATCTCGTTTTTGCTATCTCTTTTTCTCTTCCTTACGAAAATTTTCTTACACGTTCTTCTCGTCATTTCCTCTTTTTTGTTCCCGCGCTATTTCTCTTTTATTCTCTCTCTCTCTCTTTCCCACTCTATCCCTCTCTCTTTCTCTCTCTCTCGTTTTTTTCCTCCAACCCTCTCCCTTTCCTCCACCCTCCACCACACCAGCTCTTTCAAATATTTTGCTTTGCACGCTAAAGAAATATGATTTTTTTTTCCAATTTGGAAATCGTTGACATTTCTC